GAAAAATGAAAAATTTGAAAAATGAAAAATTTGAAAAAGTTTAAGTCTTATATTGGAAAATGACTTATGTTTGAGAATATGAAAAATTATTCTTTTTTTTGAGGATAGAGCAGTATTGGTACCAACTCTCGAAGTAGTTGAAATGATAAATGAATTTATTCTGTCCCTCATTCTTGGTGATGAAAAGGAGTAGTTGAGTTCTGATTCTTCGTGCCAAGCAGAAGCAGTTGTAGATGTTGATGATAATTGGATAATAGTTGAGTTTTTGAACGAAATCAAATATTCAGGAATCTGAAACTACAAAATAGTCTTAAAAAAAGGGGTACCGATTATGCTATTGAAGAACTTTGACCAAACATCTGGATTGTCTAATGGGACAAGATTAATCGTTCAAGAGCTGTGAAATAATATTATCGGTGCAATTGTGGTTTCGAGAAATCGAGCTGGGGAAAAAGTTTACATCCCTAGAATGAATTTGGTATCATCTGATCCAGGGCTACCCTTGAAGTTCCAAAGAAGACAATTCCCGATCGCCTCATGTTTTGCTATGACTATCAACAAAAGTAAAGGTCAAACATTGTCATTTGTGGGATTATTTTTAACCAAGTCAATGTTCACACATGGTCAATCACGAGTGAAGACAAATACATGATTAAAAACATTACTTCTAGATGACAATGAAAACCTTTGCAACCATACCAAAAATGTTGTATACCCTGAAGTCTTTCAGAAAATTTGGTATTAAAATAAACATTGTTAATTCTACATTCTGTTCCTCAAATATTACTCCGTATTTATTTTACTTTGGCTTTTTTCATTTGTAGTATTAAAAATTATGTGAGCAATATATTTTCTTTATTCTGAAAAATAAATTTCATTGAAATAATTCAGAATCGACATAAATTTCTTTCGACCCCGTGCATGGCATGGGTCAGAATACTAGTAAACTAGAAAAGAGGGAGTAACAACCTAACAACAACAACAATAATACTCATAATAATACTTCGTAATATTAATAACCAAAACATGCATCAACTGTTACAGATATTACAACTGTGATAAACTAATTAGTGTTTAAAAAACGAAATGAAAATATACGTAAATAATTTTTTCGGATAAAATTGGAAGAAGTTTGAAAAAACAGAAGGAATTAGAAATGTTCGGGATTATCGGCATGAAAAGTTACCTCGTACCGTTTCAAAGCACAGTATCGACCGTTCAATTTGACAGGATTCAGTTCTTTTGTGGTATTTTTTGGTTCGGTCTCTCGGTTTTTCAGGATATTTCATGATCGGTTCGGTACTTGCTCACCCCTAATTTGAGAGAGATATTTCCTCTACTCACTAAAATTGTTCCTATTTTGACTAATGAGAGAAATAAGAAGTGTAAGTTTGTATTTAATTTTCTAATCTTACCCTTGGTTTGATGGATAAAAATAGAATGTAATGGATAGATTTTTAATGAAAAAATACAATGCGATAGATAGAATAAGAATGAATAGAGGTAAAAGTAATTTTTAATAGAAATAAAAATGTTATGCTGAAAGAAAAACATAAATGTTTTAATAGAAATAAAAGTATTTTGGTGAGAGAAAAAACATAAAAAAAGAATTGTTTTAAGTTAAAGGAAAGAGTAAATCTCTAATACTTTCTCCTTCCAAATACTACCTCCACCCCTGATTATTTGTTTAGTTTTGACTTTTTTCGCCCAATTATTTTCAACTTTTGACTTATAATTAAATAAAATATATATTATATATTAATTAGACAAAATAATATATTGAAAAATATTTGATACAATAAATATAATAAAACTATTTTTATATCAATATGTAATACTCCCTCCGTCCCTGAAAACCTTTCCCCTTTCTTTTTTCATCCGTCCCAAAAAACACTTCTCATACTATTAAAAACTCACTTTTACCCCTTACTTTTCCATACCCTACCTATTACATCATACATTTTTACTAATAATCTATCCATCAAATCATACTTTTGCCCATCACATCAAAGGATATTTTTGGAAATTCAATACCAAAATACACTCTCCTTAAATCCCTCTTCAAAATCGAAACTCCCATGTTTTTCGGGACGGAGAGAGTATCATTTTATTTAACTTTAGGTCAAATTTTATCAATTTTGACAAAAAAAGACAAAAGTGACAAACAATCATATTTTCCGGATTTAACTCATAGCACAAATTACCGAGAGACGAAACCTCATCTAAGTAAACTGGTCATATTAGAATTTGTCAATGTTGTAAACTCGATCCTTTATTCATCATATACGGGGGTATTTATACATACACAGGAGAAGGTAAAGTCTAGGTCAATAAGGAAACAAGATATTCTAAATAATAGGAGTAATATATCTGCCATATTTAACACTCCCCCTCAGATATATCATCATTCATTATACACTAACAACATTATGCTACGAGATAATGTTGGCTAGGTTCTTCAGGACCTATATTAGCTGATACTGCAGGACCAGTTATGCTGCCTCATTAAAAACCTTACTAAGAAAACCCATTGGGACAAAACTTAGTTAAGGGAAAAAGAGTACAGCGTGTATAATGTTTTCCCTCAAAATAAAAATATACTACCCCTCAAACTAATTTATCTCTTTTAGCCTACGAAGTCCAATCTTCTTTCTGAGTTGCTCAAAACTGTGTCTAGGTAGAGATTTGGAGAATAATTCCACCAAATTTTGCTTGATTTAACTTGAAGAACATTGATCTCTGCAGATTAGATGTTGAGAAAAACTTTGCTGAGATTTGCTTCGTTCTGTCTCCCTTGATGTAGCCATCCTTGATTTGAGCTATGCATGTTGTGTTATTTTTATATATAATCGTATCATTCTTCTTGATTTCTCTCAAACTGCATGCTCCTTGTATTAGATTGATCATCAATCTCTACCATGCTCGCTCTCGATCACTGTTGTATAATGCTATTAGTTCGGCTTGATTCCATGTTGTTGTTCGTGCTCGCTCAGTCGACTTCCAAGAAAAAGTCGTATCACCATATGTGAACACATTACCTGTCTAATTTCACACTTAAAATTTGGTACTGCAGGACCAAGTACTTCTTTGCCTCTTCTGGGAGGCGATTAGAATGCTATGTATATATATGAATGAACAACCATGGGTATGTTCAAAGGATGAGCTTTATCCATATTTCAACGTGTTAACATCTTCTGGATGTAGTTTAACTTATGGACAAATGTGTTGTCATATAGGTGTTTAAAGTACAAATCTAAGTATAATTTATGTCATGTCAAGATCTTCCATCTCAAATTCTCTCTTCAAGAGTTCAACAGTTTTTTTTCTATCTCTTCAGGAGATTTAATGATATTTATACGTCGACGTAAACTGCTATAATAAAGAATATTGAGAGCGATCCTTGAATGACAACACATAGCTGATTTCAAATTTGTATCTTTCTTTTTCGATATATTCACTGGGTCAATTGTACCACATATGACCAGATTACTTGAGACCATTCCACGATCTCTTCACACATATCTCGATGTATTAATTTTATTGCTTCTAGCATTTTGAATCCTTCAGGAATTATTATCACACAGATGTCGAATTCAAGTGTCCCTTATAATTATGTTATAACGACATCTATATCATTTATTTGAAGTCCTTTTGAGATTGCGAGGCCAATTAAAATTCTAATAGGACATTGCATCCACTAGTGGAGAATACATTTCCTCATAATCAACTCCTGGGATTAGGGAAAAGCCCTTGCCTTACAAGTAGTACTACATATCGCACAATCTCATTCATTTTATTTCTGTTTATTACAGACACCCATTTATAACCTATTGGTTTGACGTCTATGGGTGTTTAGACTTCAGGTCCGAAAATATTTCGCTTATCGAGTGGCTTAAATTCAACCTTGAGGGTCTTTTGCCATTTGGCAAATCATTTATGTACTTTGTACATGTAGTCTTCTTTGAATTTTAGATATGTAATCTCTTTTATTGATTACATCCATTGTCATAGCATATGCAAGAATATCATTAACACGTGTTTCATTTCGATTCCATATTGTACAGTCTCGTACATAATTAATAGAGATCTCATTTTCTTTCGGTACCGATGTTTCTTTAGGAATCTTATTCGTCTGGAATCATATTAGTCTCTTCCAGGACATTTACCTCTTCTGGGGTTTCATTTTCTTCTGGAATAGTATTAGTCTTCTTCTGGGACAATTACCTCTTCGGGGGTTTCACTCATAATAATGTATGTGGTTTTACTAATAGCATTTTTGCTATTTTCATTTTCGCGGGTTCTTATCCTTAAAACCGATTATTCTCCCACAATTTCTTTGTATAATAGTCACTTCTGGGACTTTCATAAATTGAGCAGTGCATAAGATGCTGGTATATGTAACTTTGTCACTCTACTCGTATGTGTGAATGCATCTCATAATTCATTTGCTCTACATTGCAAATCGGACTTCAAAATCGCACTGACCACTTCAGGAGTCAAAAATTTACGATGATGATGCATTCCATGTAATTTCTTATATTACCAGTCTTTCTTTATGCGTCTCTCCCCCTAAGACTCCCCCTAAGACTGGGAATACTATATCATAAAATTGACAATCAACATACTGTGATGTATATATATATATCTCTTGTCAAAAAAACTCTTAACATTTAACAATTGACGAGGAGTTAACACTAATGTCAATTACCCAATCTTCTCTATTATCTTGGATGCATTGTGGGGGAGGGGGCACATAGGACACACAATCAAATATTGTCAGAAGGGACAAACATGGTTCTCTTCGGGAGATATCAAGAGTAAGAAATTCAAAATTTTGAATATTTGACAGTTTATTTATAGGGAAGGATTAATAAAAATGAACATGTGTATATAAAATACATGTGAAGAAGATCTTCAGGTTCTCATATGTTGGAACTACATGTTCCTTATAATAAGACCATTTTTTTATGGTTGAGAAAGTACCAAGAATTCATTCTAACCAAAGTGTTTACAATTGACACATAAAATTCATAATGAGCACTTTATTTGCAATATCTTAGTACAATCTTCTTTCTTGAACTTCAGGTTCACATCTTCTTTAATTGAAGAATATATGTAATCTCGCATATGTCATGGAATTTATCTTCCATTCAACTCCTTCAAAAACCTTCCCTCAGTGTCTACCTACCATTGTGGTATCTTAATATTTATCTTAATTTAAGCCCATTAAGCATCCGCTCCAAATGATTACCACATAAATGAAGATTCAAAATCTAGTATAAAATGATTTGTTCTCATAATCAAAGTATAGCCACTAATTCGATGCACTTTGCATATTAACTAGACCTGCAGGCTCTTTTGTGACTAATGATGTTCAACATAACCTATAAAATGTGTCCATAATATAATATATGGACAAATATCATAAACTCCGGATTACGAGTTAATTGTCAACAAATATGACAAATATAACGATGCATTATATAAAACATATAAATTGTCATCACGAATAGTTGATGGGCCCAATCAATTATCCTTGAACAATTTCTAAATATGTATGAAATGAATCTCAAGTTTCATTAGTAATAATCTCATAATAATCTTTTAATGAGAACAAAACTATAGGATTTTCTGGTCCTAATAATAACAGAAACTTCTAGTCCTTCAAATAGTACTCACTTGAGTTCTTAATGATTTTTTTCTTCACATCACAAACTAAAACGTGATAATTTAATTGGTTATGTTTAAAATAAAAATTGATGCAGTAAACTTCTGGTTTACGTGAAAACAAATCTTGATCAAGTGTCATGTAATATTCATTTCTATTGGTATCATAAACATTAATAGAGACACCTTAAACAATAAGGATTTGTCTATACCCAATAGAATATTTGTCAATGTAGGATAATAACTGTTCTCTAAAAAATATTCAATATTTATGAGACTTTTATTATTTCTATTAGATAGCTCTTACTATGCAATGCTCTTCTGGAGCTATCTGTTAGTTTTGTATAACAAGAAAATTATATATACACTAACTTCTTTTATCACAAGAGAAAAGAATCTCTTACATCTAAAAAATATAACATGAATAATCACTCCTTTGATTATAATATACTTACTACATCATTCTTCAGGAATATTGATGAGGAATCATATATAGATTAGAATTAAGGTCTTGAAATATCAAAAACATGTCTTTATAATGAGATTTTTTTTACTAAAAATAAGCCACTTCAGGTGGTAATTAAATATTATAAGACCTTAGATGGTGTCTCATATACCCATATATTATGTTTGATGAACATGATGACTTTTATTTAATTTAGGAGATTATACATCTTAAGAATTTCTTTTCAGAATTCAATATTCTTTAGGAATATTTAGATTCAAATAGTCAATATTTAAAAAAAAATGTAATTCTATGTGACCATAATAGTGACTTTGATGTGTCCATATGTATAACCACAATAGTTGTGATAGCCTATTATATTCATGCATGTTAATCAATTTTTCACTCGCTTTAGGGAATGAATATGTAACATGATTTTTTTTTCGAAAAAAAAAACATTTCCTAACAATGGAAAAAAAAACCAAATAGGTAGTAAATGATTTTTTTTTACACTACCACTTGAGAGGAAATTAGATTCTCAAATACTATTTTGTAATTTCAAACCACATATAACATGCAATTACAAATATTGGTCACATAAATTTTATTGCAACGTAGCATAGCACATTAAAATATAATGTCATTGCATAAAGAGAAAATGCATTGAACAATTTATTTTAAAAAAATCATTAGGCCATTTTGCTTAAGTGGTAAATGCATTTTAAAAAAAACTCTATTTCCTTATTCTCTTCTAGAGAATATGGACATTTAGAATAAATATCAAATTTGATTCACTTTGAGGACAAAACTTAACAATTTTGTAAAATATATCTATAGTGCCAAAAAAAATTATAAAGTGAATGGTCCAAGATTTTGCTTTTATCAAATATTAGCTAGGGAATCACATAGCATGAGTTGTGCAAACTTGGCAAATATAGAGAATTAAAATGCACATTTTCGTTCCCTTAGCATCAATCAACGAAGATAATCCATAATTACATATTTGAATGCATTTTTTTTAACACAAAATATGAATGAAGCTACCATTTTACAATGATGCATATCCAAAGTAATAATGATCGTTTTTACAATGATGTTTATCCAAAGAAATAATAATCGTATTAACAATGATGCATATCCAAAGAAATCTAAATGCCATTTGTGTGTATGGTATCTTAATTTACATATACACTTAACTCCTGATGTGATAAAACATGATAAAATTTGATACTTCATTTGAAAATCCTCTTTTATAGGTCATGAACATTTAAAACAACAAAATAATTATCACATTTGTGATAAAAAAAATAAATATGTATTTTTTTCACATAAGCACATATGTCAATGTTTGTGTACAATCACAACTTTAAAAAGCAACAGTTCAAGATTTATAGGTACATTAGGATAACTATGTACAATTTCATGATAGGATAATGCATGATTGTAACTTTTTTTTTGTATGCAGCATGTAACTAAAAAAAAAATTACCAATCCCAACAAAAACAAAAAAAAAACAGATCTAGAATGAACATATGGTCCTGTCCATAACATGCTTTAATGTAAGTTGCAATCAATTCATGAACAAGATCTACCAGTGGCACGTTGGTCTGATTTCAGCGATTACACCCCAGGGGTTCGAATCCCAGCTCCATTTTTGTCTTTTTTTTTATTAAAAAAAACATGTTTACAGTAAATTTGGTTTAGAAATCTGCTAATGATAATTTTTTTCTTCAATATATGTATTTACAAATCTATTTATAAGATGATTGCAATCAAATTCTTTCCCTTAAAAAGCATCAAGTATAGAAAAACTCATAACACTTTTCAATCTCAAACAAATCATAATCTAGATCAAACAAGATATATTATCATACTTCACATCAATTTTAGGGATTCGGAATACCTGGATTTTGGGATAGGGATATTGGAGAAGAAGATCCAGAATTCAGCTCTGCTCTATTCCCTTTCTAGTCAAAGAGCTTTGATTACGCCGTCCCAACGGCGGAGGTTTCGGCAAGAGGATAAGGTGATGGCGGCGAGGCTTCTGGAACTACTCTGTTCCTTTTCCGGCGATTAGGTTTTTTTTTTTCGCTGCTTCTTCAAAATAGAATAACACTGAAAGCAATCTCACTATTGGGATTAAAAGGGGCCGACTATTGAACGGCAAGAGCATAGGCTTGGAGATCAAGAAAAAAAAGGAGAGAAGCCCAGATGTGTGGTTTGTAGGAGGATTGGTCTCCGACGGAAGGAAAGGGAGGAGCGGCCAAAAGAATTAGGGTTTAGAGACCAGTGTTGTAAACTCCTCCTTTATTCATCATATACGGGGTATTTATACATACACAGGAGAAGGTAAAGTCTAGGTCAATAAGGAAACAAGATATTCTAAATAATAGGAGTAATATATCTGCCATATTTAACAGTCAAGAGTTTTTCCCGCCTAAGGGGTCATGCAATAACCACCATTGATGCACCATTGCTAATTAATCAACGGCAGTAGATTTATTAGAAATGCAGGAGTTATTAATGCCATGGTAGTTATTTAATGCACACATTAATTGGCCTGGGGACGCTTCGCTTATCCCATTACCTACTTTGCATTTTTAATTTATTTCATTTCTTCTCTCTCAATTTAAATCACATACGAAGTATTATTTTTTGAGATGTTAGACTAAAAAAAATTCAATTGAATTTATTTAGAAATTGGTATGGAATAATTAACAAATAAAATTTATATATTTAAAAAAATATTAAAAAATTCTACAAAATAAGAGGTGACAAAACTATATTATTTTTTCAAATGTGTTACGAAAACAAGTAAAAAAACATGATCAAAGTTTGACGATTTGAATAGTAAATAGAAAACTTAAATTGGGACGAATAGAGTATAAGATAACATTATTGCCAATTTTTTAAATTAGGAATATAAAACGTTTTAAATTTTTATTACTCTATATACGTTGAAATTAATGCCCCTTTCTATTAGAAAAACTCCATATGAGTACAAGGTCAAACCTTTGTATCTCACTTGCAGTGGCGGATCCAAGAATAATCTGACTGAGGGCGCCCTTTTAATAATGGGTAGGGTGGGGGTTCGGAGGCTGAGATTTCGATTTTTTCTAATGTCAACTTAAAATGATGAAAAAGAAGTGAATTTTAATTTATACTCCGTATCCTTCTTTTCAGAAGTGTTTGAAATTATTAGTACTCGAATAAGTAAAAGAAATTACTTTATTATTAGAAAAAATATAATAAGAAATATATCATAACTTAATATTAAAATTTCATATATTTTGCTTTTATATTCAACTTAAAAAGTTCATTGTTTAATTTTAGCATTTAGAAATTAAAAATATAACTCCTAATTTTTATTGATGAGAGCGGATTAATATTAATTAAAACCAACAAGAGTTTTAAAATACAATAAACTATTTTTATTTATCCCATATGTAACTCATCCTCTACATTGTCATTATTGAACTCTTTAATTTTTCACAAGTTTCCTCAAGATAAAAGATAATGAGAAGTGATAAGAATATTATACTTTCATTGACAAATGCCAAATGAAAGCATCTTTGAAAAAAATTAACAACATAAAAAAGTAATGAACAATTAAAATAATATTACGCCGTACAAAAATATTGAAAGAGGAGAGGAGACCCTATGAAAAAAATTAAACGATAAGGAGTATTATAAGCAAAGTTGCATGTTATTAAAAATAAAAATAGTTTAGTGCTGTTTTTGAACTCCTCTAGATGTTAACCAAATTTGATTGGTAGGGATTGGTAGACGTGTGTTTTTTGACAAAAATAAATACTTGAAGTCAGTGGCATTTTAATTACTTGGCAAAAAGTTGTCCAAGTTAAGAGCATGGGCAGTGGCGAGGGGTGTGAGTGCCTCTCCCTGCCAACTCAGCTTTCTCTTCGAAAATCGTGGCATGGCAACCCATTTTTACTTAGCTTGCGAGTATTCTGCGAGGCAAATTTTTTTCTTTTTGTTTTTCTTTTTTATTTTTTTAATTTTTTATTTTGTATAAGAAAACAGCTTTGCTTTTTAATAGAGTATGTATATCTATTTTTGTATAAAAAGATAAATAAAATATTTTTTAATAATTAATATACATAAAAAAGATTAAAATGTGTAAAAAACAATGACTTGGCACTGCATAACATGTCACTCCGCTCACTTACCACACGCTGACTAAGATGTTTTTTATTGGTTCAAATTTTCCACATCACCGTGTGGCATTCCATTTTTGCCTCACCATTGTCCATGCTCTAAGCCCACGATTATATTCTACTTATCACCATGTTTTGTTTTATGGGGATTGGTGATCAACCGTCGTCCTTAAGTATTTTTTTAGTTTTGACTTTTTCTTCAGACAATTATTTTTAATATTTGACCTATAATGTAATAAAAATTTAAAAATACATTGATCAGAAGAAACAAACCTTTAAAGTTAATAACAAACCTTTAATATTTGACCTATATTTTTGCCTTCATTTTTTGTTTTTCATTTCTAACCAAACCTTTAAAGTTGATTTTCATCTCATTTTTTCTTTTTCTTTCATATTTCTCGAATGATAGAGAGTGTAAATATCACATTATATTTGAAATAGTAGCTAAATTTGGTGGGTCATTGAATTGAGTATTGAAACCTCTTAGCATAGTTTTGTTTCTCAATGATATGTATGTTTAAATGGCGTCAATATGTGCATTATTTGTTTTTGGAAAATAAATAAGATGAGTGAGATTTTTTTACATCTAGGAGAGTATTTTAATTTTATTTTGCAACATTTTATCATATTCGTCAAGTAAAAAAGAGATAAGATATTTTTAATGGACATATATTAAGATTACTACGGGGTATTTTTCTAAGATATTTACTTTACTTTCTATTATGATATACACTTCAATATTTTAATATAATGATCCAAGCTCACAAAATCTCTTTCCTTTTAAAAAAATTCTAATTATATACTCTTTTATTTTAAGTATTGTTTGTAGACTCCATGAAATCAACATGAATAATTTTGTTATATATTTCAATTTAAATCTAACTTTTTTATATAGACATTTATTTTATTTTATTATACTCTCATACTATATATTTTAAAATAAATTACTTGCCGTGCAACACACGGGTACGAATCTAGTATAGTCAAGACCAAAAGTCTTTCCCACATACCTCCATTATTGGTCTTCCCACGATGAGTTATTTCAGGGGCTAGATGTCTCTAAACCTTTTCTTAATTCATCTAAATTTAGAGGATGGGGCAGAGTGGGTCCTATCCACGAGACGGGTAAGACCGTAAGAATCAAAGTTTTGAAAAAAGAAAGGATGAGCCTTATCCCGAGGGTTCCATCAGATCCGGTCGGACAGTCACTTGGAATAAGTAAATTGGATTTTAATCGAAGATTCGTGGCAAAAGTGAGTCTGCATCTAGTACTTGCAGAGGCCTTATGTTTAGCATAGTTACCTTCCAGCACAGTTGCCCCTTAGCACTTTTTGCCCTGCCAATTGCGCAATGTCCACCGACATCATCAAAGTTTTGAATGGAACACCATAAGGCTTTCAACTTGATTGATGTTTTATCATGATAGCCAAACCTAGTGTAATTATGATCTAGCCATAGAGGGTAAATCTTAGTACCATATGCCTTTAAGTTTTAATCCTATCTCTTTTTAAAAGATTTTATTTATAAAATTACAAGTATAAAAATTAATATTGCAACTTATATTTTTAAAACTTATCTCTCAAAAGATCTACAAATTAAATAGTCGCATTTCTATTTAATTTTATACCATCGTCATTCCACTGTTTTCTTCAGTTTGATTTTTTTTGAATCAAACATGACGAATTTTAATCCTAAATTACTCTTAATTTATATTGCATATTAATAATACAATTAAATAACATTACAATTTTAATTTAATAGAGGTCCAAGGCAGATTGATTTTAAAATGTCAAATTTGACGAATATTCTGGGACATAGATATTATTAACGAAAATACATACGCAGATAAGAGTTATCGAAAACTTTAAATAATAATTGAGCCAATGTTTTAGGGGCTGATGGAGTATATATATATATATATATATATATATATATATATATATAGATAGATTATTCTTGGGAAAAAATATCCTAAACAAACAAATAACAGAAAAAAGACTAAAGTAAGAGTAAAATATTGAAAATATACCAAAATAGGAGTTTTATAATTTTATTCCCAAAATAGGAATTAAAATACATTAACATTACTAATCATGACAATGCACATTACCAAAAAGTATTGTAAAATGCTTATGTAGAGTGTCACATTACCAGAGTGCAAACTCCTATTTAGGGAGTAAAAATATGAAACTCATATTTTAGTATATGTTCTATATTTTACTTTTATTTAGAATGATTTCTGAACAAATAACAACATGCATGCTCTCACAAATATAAGGGAGGAACGAAAAATTGTGCAAAAAATAAGAGAGATCAACACACAATATTTTTAATCTAAAAAACCTCTCAACGACGGTAAAAATATCACGGCCATTTCGGATTAAACTTTCTACTATAATATCAGTTGGGTACAATATCTCAAAATTATAACATAACAATTAAAATTATCTCTGTGTGAAAATCTTTTCTATATTAAAGAATTTCCAAATCTTTTTAGGACTGCATCTCTCTCTTCTTGGCACCCCTCTTTCTCCCTCCTCTTCTTTTTTCTCTACGTAGGGTACTAGGGGCACAACCCAAATCAAAGGAGTTAATATCTTTTTATAGAGAAATTCCAATCCCACACCAAACTTTAGTCCTCATAATCAATAACCAAATCCCGTGTTGATTTTCTACATTTTCAAAAAGCAATATATGTCGCACAACTAGTTGTATCGTATTTTCCGTACATCCGCGTTGAATAATCATTTAGCGTGTCGATTAGATCGGGTTAGATCAGGATTAACATATTTTTAGCGGGCCATTTCGAATTTAACCAACAAAATATTTATTCAAAACCTTGTATTTTCGGATTGAGTTTCAGGTCAAAAATAGTTTGGATCATTTTTTCCCGCTAAGTGACGGATGTATCATGTATGGTATAGTGATATAGGTACTCTTTTCAAAGGTGCTACATCATTAGGGGTGTAAACAGATATTAATCGGATCAGACGTGTCATTACCAAATCTGTATCCGTTTATTTTTGTCAGATATCAAACTCGGATACGAATTTTGACGGATACTGAAAATCAAAACCGTATCCGCATCCGTCGGATATCGGTCGAATATCGGATATATCCGTATCCATTTCCAATTTTTAAAATCTAATTAAACAATACTTTAGTTTTAAATTAGATTAAAGTCAAACTATTATTAAATCAACTATAATTTGTTATGGGATAATTATTTTCTTTGTTTTCATAATTTATGATATTCTACATGACTTCATATGATAAAAAGATATACACAGCACACATATTTTTATATGTCTGTACATATTTTTATGTGTCTACACATTTATTTTCTATATAAAAATGTCTTATACTTTGAAATATCAATAGATAAACAAAATATAAACATAAAAAAATTAGAAAAAGCTATATATAACGGATCAGATATTCGGATAAATAGTTATTTAAATAGGTGCATATTCGAATCGGATATACAAAGTATAAGACATTTTTGAGACATTTTTAAAATTATTTTAGATATTTTGGATGAAACGAGAGTACTTTATCGGATTATCAAAAAATGAAACATTTTTCAGAGATTATTTGGTAGTGAGGGAGACATCCCAATTCCCAACAAGTATATATAGACACAGCAGCTGCAACGTAACGGAGTCATATCACACGCGTCTACCAACCTAAACTGATTTTCGATTCATACAATAAAGCTTGGACTGCAAATTCTTCAATAATCCCCTCCGTATATACTCCGTGAATTCTTCTAATACGAGTAGTAAGTAACTCTTTTTTACAGTTTCATTATACAGAATTCACTTCATTCACACATTTTATACAATGAAAAATTAACTCTGTAATTATTCATATCACTCAGTAAGTTTTCGATGGTGCAGCATTAGGTTGACAAAATGGAGCAGCAAGTGGGCAACACTTCTTTCATCAAAACTCTTTTCAATGCCCTCAATTCCATTTTAGGTATCATATTATCTTTTCTAAATTTCTCACTTAATCAAATTGTTTTTATACCCAGACCCTACTCTTCTGGGATTCACCTGGGTTGTTGTTGTTGTAATCAAATTGTTTTTATACAGTATTATTTACTCACTTCGTCCCTCTAATCTTTTCCCATTTTGATATTTTTTGTCTCTTTGTTCGCAAATGGACATAATCTAAATGAATAAATATTATAAAAATTTGATATATCAAAACTATATCTTATTAAGATGAAGCTAATTATATTAAATTTATATTATAATTCAATATATTTTTTTTCCATAATTTCTAGTCAAAGAGAGTCAATGTTTGATCAAACGAGTCAAAACAGAAAGAGTTTTCAAGGAACGAGTGGGTAACACGAAAATGAGTTTTATTAATATTGTAAATCTTTTTTATCCATAAATCAATTGGAACAGGAATTGGAATGTTGTCAATCCCTTATGCTATTGCCTGTGGAGGCTGGTTAAGTTTATTATTTTTTCTGATCATTTCTATGGGAGCATGCTATGCGGGCTTGCTCACTCAGCGCTGCATGCAATTAAACCCCACAGTTAAAAGTTTTCCAGATCTTGGAAAACAGGCTTATGGGAATCTAGGGGAAACAATAATCTCGGCCATCCTCTGTGTGGATCTTTATCTGGTTTTAACAGATTTTCTCATCTTGGAAGGGGATAACCTATACAGCCTCTTCCCCAACATGAAGATTGTGTTATTTGGCTTGTCAATAAGTGGAAAAACATGTTTTGTCATAATCATCGCTCTCGTTCTCCTTCCCACTGTTTGGATTGAAGATTTACGCCTTCTCGCATACATCTCTACTCTTGGGGTTATGTCATCTTTAGCATTGCTTATTTGTGTGTTCTGTGTTGCGGTGTTTGATGATGTGGGCTTTCACCATAAGGGCGAAGTTATAAGTTGGAGAGGGTTTCCAATGGCTCTCAGCTTATACATGTTCTGCTTTAGTGCAAATCATGTTTTCCCCTCCTTATACAATTCCATGCGAAGTAAGCATCACTTTTTCAAGGTATATATCATTTGCCACATACTCCATACTTTTTATAGCTATTTTTTGAGTTACTTTTTTATAGCTATTCTATTACAGCGAGTACTCAATTATAATTATCATATGTTCAAATGGATAAATATATACGAGAGTATTTAGTAATTCTTATAAAGTTAACGAAGAAAAACACTGCAACCAAAGTATACTAAGCATTTTGATTAAAGTTATTATGCACACACAACACTCTCCTCCCTTTGTTCCATAAAATATCTTACACTTCTTACCTGCCCCAAAGAACTTGCCACTTTTCATAAAAAAGTATATTTCTCCTAATTCATACTCTACCTTAGACATTATATATGTTCACTCTTAATTTATCTATCACATTTTACTTTTATCCATCTTATCTAAGAGTGATCTGGCAAGTCAAAGATCCATCCCCCTCTTAAATCCTTGGAAAGCCAAAATCGGAAACATATTCGAGACAGAGGGAATATATATAATATCCTCCTTTAATTAATTTGTCTTAAGTCCTTACTCAACGAAAATAGTAATAATATTAATAATAATTATTATTATAGTAATGATAATAATAATACTTATAACGGTACTGGGGTTCTAGTGACACTAGAGTACAGTGACACTCCGGTGCCTGCCACTGTCATTTTGGAATAGTTCCGATGCTTCGTTCAAAAATTTGACGGTTCCTACCCCTTAACCCATCCCCTAAACCCCCACCCTACTCCCGCCCCTACACCCTCACCCTAACCCCGCCGTAAGCCCCCAGCATAATAGCCACCCATTTTGTGGGGAGGGGGGGCTTATTACGGCAGGGTTGAGGTTGGGGTGTTGGGGCGGGAGTAGGGTGGGGGTTTAGGGGGTGGGTTAGGGGGATAGGATTCGTTAATTTTATGAACGGAGCAGCGGAAGTGCCCAAAATGACAGTGGCACCGCTAGTGTCACCAAACAAAAACAACTACTCCCTCCGTCCCAAAAAGATTTACACGTTTTGACTAAAGTTGAAATTAAGGGAGGGATAATTTTGTGTTGACTTTCCAAAAATACCCTTGATGTGATGGGTAAAAGTGAGATGTGATGTGTAGATTATTAGAAAAAAGGTATGATGTGATAGGTAGAGTTTGAAAAAAGTAAGGGGTAAAAGTGGTTTTTTAATAGAAATGAGTAGGAGATTGTGGGACGCAATTTTTTTAAAAGGTGTAAATCTTTTTGGGAGGGAGGGAGTAATTACCATCTTATGGCGATTCCTTCTGTGCATGTTTTAAAAAGAGTGTTTTGAAACACTCCCAACATGTACCAATAGCTAGAAGACATGTGGCTTCTCTTTCCACCTCACTTTAATGGAATATAAATTTTCAATTTAATCTTAAGGACTGATTTGCAATTTTAAATACTCTCCGTCTAGTTTTGTTTTCACCGTCTCTTCTGCCATCCCCTTCAACTCTATCCATATTAAAATTAGAGAATTTATGATTCAAGTTGGGGAGTATAAATGTATTAATGGAAGTTGATGTTCTACGGACTACCAAAAGTCCAAAAAAAGAGAAAAAAACCCAAAAAATGGGGAAAAAAGACATATACCGTAAAAATAAAAAGCAAATAAAAAGTGAAGGATTAATTTTTTAATAAAATTATTTAAAATAATTCTTGTACCAGTTTCTTTCATTTCTTTCTAGTTTCTTCTAGTTATTTCTTACTATTCTCAATTTCTTCAAATTCTTTTTACTCCTTAACCGATTAATCTAAAAAAGATATATTTTTAATTTGATTACTATTTTTATTATTTTTGAAACTATATTCATGACTATAGTTTATAAATTATTTTAATTTTTTTCATTTCAATATTTTTACAATTCATACTCATTGTTATTTTTTTCAACTTTTCAACGCGAGTAATGCATTTTTGGGCAAGGTTCCCATGATGTTATGTCATGGGATGACCCGGGGCCGCTGCGGTGCTCCTTTTGTAAAATTGACGGTTCCTACCCCCCTAACCCCCGGTAAAACCCACCCACCCTGCCCTAACCCGAACACACCCCCCACCCCCTCTGATTGTACCCACAAGTTGATTTTGACTTTGAAGTTTGATTTCAAAGTCAATATCAACTTGTAGGGTGCAATTGGAGGGGTGGGGGTGTGTTCGGGTTGGGGCGGGGTGGGGAGGTTTACTGGGGGATTAGGGGGATAGGAACCTTCAATTTTACGAACGGGACACCGGAACGGCCCCGGGTCATTACATGACATTGCCGGGCAATGTCATGGTAGTCTTGGTGTACATTTTTTTTTGTATATTAATTTACAGGATAAAATGGGAAAACATCAATATTTTAAACTATATTAAAAAAATTATAGATAAAATAGTTACAGAGTACTCCCTCCGTCCTGGAGCTAGTATTCATTCAGTTTTAACTTTTGGAACTGTTCATCTAAGCACTTTGACTCATCAAATTCTCTCAATGTGTAAGCCTAATTAATATAGTCATGTGTGATCTTGTTTGATTTGTCTTAACATATAGATTATTAATATATAATTTCTATAATTTTTTAATATACAAATTACAAGATAAAATGGATTAAAAAAGTGTATTGGATGGTGTGTAGAAATGAAAGTGGACAAATATTCTAGGACGGAGGTAGTATGTTTTATTAATCTAAATATATATAAGAAAAACATTAATATTTCGATCTAAAAAATAATAATGGAATGAGGGAGTACCACTATACATTATGAAAACCAAGGAAGAACTACATTTTGAAAAAGAAAAAAAAACAATCTAAACAGTGTAAAAAATTTTAAAAGTAAAAATAGTTTTGAGAAAAAGATAAAAATAGGAGTAAAACGTAAAAAAATGTAAAAGAATAAGAGCTCTATTTCTTTATTTAAAAGTATTAGTTATAATGAAAATAAAATGTCAATCATGAAAGAAAAAAAATATATTTAATTACATTATGTGATATGTCTGATATTTAAGACAAAATCATGTAGATTAATATACCAAAAATGTATTACTCACATTAAAAAGTTGAAAAAAAATAACAATGAGTATGAATTGTAAAAAATATTGAAATGAAAAAAATGAAATAATTTATAAACTATAGATATGAATATAATGGTTTCAATAATAGTAAAAATAGTAATCAAATTAAAAATTTATCGTTTTTAGAGTAATTGGTTGAGAAGTAAAAAGAGTTTGAAAAAAATTGAGAATAGTTGGAAATAACTGGAAGAAACTAGAAACAACTGAAAGAAACTAGAAGGAACCGGAATTCATCAGAAAAATAGAAAGAACTCAAAAAAACTAGTTAAGAGTTTAAACCATAAAGAACAGATTCTAAAGAGTTGAGCGTGAATGAAAAATTTAAAGGTAAAAAATTTCTACTATTGCTTTAAAAAAGAAAAGAATTATCTGACCAAATCTCAACTTTAAACAATCCAATAAAAATATCTTTTTTCAATGTTATGCATAATTATCTCAATTTTGAGGTATCAATGTCTTAATGATTTTTTTAAAAAATTATTTTGCGTAAATAAAATATCTCTTTTTTATTTTTTATTTTTTAATTTTGACTTAACTCACGTAAGAGTAATATTATTATTAGAGGTGTCAAATCGGTCGGGTTTTGTGTTCGGTCACTTCAAGTTTAGGTTATTTCGGGTTCGGGTCAGTTCGGGTTCGGGTTGAAACTGTATGTTCATGACCCAGTGTCATTGGGTTCGGGTCGATCCATCGGATTATGACTTTGGTTTTTAAAATTTTCAAAGTCAAATTAATACTTACATTTTCTATTAAATAAATTTAAAATATCAAAAAAAGTATTGAATCTATAAAATTATTTTATTTTTAACTCTAAAGTAGTTTTTGGATATATAAATCAATATAAAGAATTTAAAAATACTTCAGTTTTGGAAAAAAGTAAGATAACTGTGTAATATCATTAAAATTTTGTCTGAAAATATAAATGTATACACTAAAAACGAGTAAAAAAGTGTATAATTTTGAAAAATTCTTACTTTAGCGGGTTGGTCAGGTCAGGTTCAGGTCCGGTCGGGTTTGCCCCATTTTTAGCAGGTCATTTCGGGTTCGGTCAACTTTGGGTTCGGTCATCAAAACCTTTGTTCAAAACCCAGTGTTTTCAGGTCGGGTTTCGTGTCAAAAACAGGTCGGACCACTTTTTGTCAGGTCTAATTATTATAGATAATTTTTGAAAATTTGCATAAAAGTAGAGTTATTTTAAATAATTTTCCTTAAAAAAATTAATCCTTCACTTTTTATTTGCTTTTTATTTTTACGGTATATGTCTTTTTTCCCCATTTTTTGGGTTTTTTTTCCCTTTTTTTGGACTTTTGGTAGTCCCCAGAACATCAACTTCCATTAATTCATTTATACTCCCCAACTTGAATAATAAATTCTCTAATTTTAATATGGAGAGAGTTGAATGGGACGGCAGAGAGACGGTGAAAACAAAACTAGAGGGAGAGTATTTAAAATTGCAAATCAGTCCTTGGGATTAAATTGAAAATTTATATTCCATTAAAGTGAGGTGGAAAGAGAAGCCACATGTCTTCTAGCTATTGGTACATGTTGGGAGTGTTTTAAAACACTCTTTTTAAAACATGCACCGAAGGAATTGCCCCATCTTATTCCACATTCCAATCTACTACTCTCTCCGTCCCTAAATAAATTACAATTTTTTTTTCTTTCTCCTCTCGATAACTTTTGTTTGTTTACACAATTTCATTATATATTTGATAAAATAAAATATTCTTGTCACCTCTTATTTTGTAGAACTTTTGACGTAGTTTTTTAATATGTAATTTTTATATCTTATTGATATACCAATTAGTAAATAAAATGATTTCAAAAAGTAGAAAATTTTACTCCGTAACCCGCAATTTGTAATCAAATTGGGGACGGAGGGAGTAAAAGCTATCATAACTCATAAGCACACCATTAACTGACCTGTCCTGCAGCTAACTCATCCTACTCTCAAGTCTCAACTACCCTCTTCTGACCCTTGAATCCGTTTGCTCGGAAACCTTCATCTAAACCCTAATCAGCTCCCCAACCGTGGAAGCTGGCTGTCGGCTCACTGAATTCTGATCCTCACCCGCATCCGCAATCGAATCTGAGCAATTCTTTTTCTTGGACTTCTAGCCCATCGCCTTCTTCACCTTGCTAGGAGCAGTATTCTTTTTCGAGTCTTGCACGTGAAACCTTAATTTTTTTAAATTGGGTGGCGCTGAGTTTTGAACCCGTGACCTCTTAGTCAACGAGGCTCTGATACCATGTCAAGGAACCCATTCAACCAAAAGCTCAAGCTTGTGGTTGTGGCCCAGGAATAGTTATTTATATTGATAAAGTATTTCAAGGGCCGACCCGATCCTGTACTCCCGCAAGCCCCGATAACGATCTCGTAGGCGGTCTCCCGGAGATCCGTGCCTGTCAGGCCAACACCCAATTCCCCGAACGGATTAGGGATTTCGGACTCGTGGGAAGAAATGGGAAGCACTGTTCCTGGTTCTTGGTGGTAGTGAATTTTGAAATGCGCCTGAGATTTTGCTTCTATGTAAGCATAAGAAACATCCATAGCTGAGAGATCACATGAAACAACCCCACGGATCAATTATATTCTGCAAGCCCAGATCTGATCCAGTCCATGCTCAATTAGATTCTGCAAGCCCAGAATTGATATCAGATTTGAATTGCTTTGTTGATCGATTCTACAAATTTGGAATAGTGGCACCATGTTTTGCTGCTGCCGCTGGAGCAATCCAATTGATCCGCAATTTAGTGCCAAACCACAAAACCAACCTTACCCAGCCATTATTTCAGCAGTTGAAGATCTAGGATTTGGAAATTTGCTCTTTTGGGCATTAAAAGAACTTCGCCACCAAAAAGATCCCTTCAGCCCCAATTTTGTTTCATTCGAAAGAGTAACTAGGGAGACACGCGCAGATCTCTCAGTGACGAAGAATTGCCCGTTTCCACTTCTGCGGCGTGTCGATTTTGATTCTTTCATCGGAGTACTATTTGATGCAGTAAGATTTTTTCATTTCCAATGAAGGCTCAATTCGCGGACTTTGATTATGGGTAATATTGGACAAACTTAATGATTTGTTGGAGAACGTTCCATGGAAACACTGAATTGGAAAGAGTGTGTGGAGTTTATGAACACATTTGCAAACTTATGAAGAGTCTCCGATCTTTTCGTCATGATTCTGACTTATATGCATTTCACATAGAAATCTCTTGCGTAATGCAAGATTTTGTTCGTGCCCCCCCCCCCCTCATTTTGCCGAGCTTGATTCCATTGAACTTACACAATTTCGAACAAACATGATGAGCACTGTAAGGGATCTCATTGGAGCTCCATTTTCTCCGCCAATGATGCCCCCAAAATGTGACAAAATCAAACTCTTGCACTGGTTAACCAAGGTATGCGAGTATTTCCAGTTTTATGAGATCCCTTTAGTTGATCTTTTGTACCGTGTGGCAGCAGCATTGTTACAGGCTCTGCCACAGATTGGTTTAATTGGCGTATGTGCGGTGGCTTAATTGATGGTTGGGATGATTTTAATTTGTTAAAAAGTTCAAGCTTCGATTTGCTTGGTTACATGATATGGATTATATATATTTTGAGAAGAAACCTAACAAGGTTGGAGATATGATTGCCCAAGTAGTGGTAGAAAGCCTTGTACTCCCCACCCCAACTGTGGAGGTCACAAATGGATCAAAAGAATCAAGCGAGAAATCTCATATCAAGGAGGACGATGATAGCAGGCTAGGCCTGACGCTCTTAGCGATGATGGTGGCGCTATTGATGAAGATAAAAGTGCTACTGCTGAAAATGTTAATGACTCCACGTTAGATGCTACATTATGTAAATTTTATGCGCTGGTACATGTTTTGGCTGGTGTGGTCATTGCAGTGTATGCCCTTCCTGAAGTTGCAACCCAAGATAGCATGTGTTAATTCCAAGCAAACAGACACTTCAGTGTTGTTTAATGCAATCAAGTTGTTTGACCATGTTGATGTTGTAAAGTCTGAGTACTTCATTTTGTTGAAGGTAGTTGGACACATGTTTGGTCTTGCTTCTTATTTCCATTGCTACAATTCAACTGATACACATTTCAAAGATGAATCACTGGGTGGACTTCGTGTGTGGTTCAATGTTATGCCCTCATGTTAAGGAATACGAGTGGGAGCCTCCACCTTAAGGAAAAGGTAGTTTTGAAGGGGGTGGAAATGATACGAATGGTAGGTTAGATTATTTAATAAATCAAAATTAGCATTTTATTATAATTATTGTTAGCAGTTATATTTTTATAAGAATTAGGGTTTCTTTATATGCCCTATATAATGAGATGTAACCTGTTAGTTGAGATATCAAGGAATAATATCAAAAGCTCTCTTTTTCTCTTTTCTCTAGCGCTCGTAAGCGCTCGAAATTTTCCTTCTATCTTTGCCTCCCTTTCTTAGAGCCCGAAGACACTTGAAGTTCTTCTTTATCTGATACGATACTCGTATTATTTACTTATGGTAGAATTGGTTATTAGTTAACTTTAATTATTAGGTTGAATCTTAAATATGTGAGGATTGCTTGTATGTATACTCGCTTTTAATCTCTTTATATCCTTGAGTAATATATTATTTTAAAATGTAATATTGTATCAACATAGAGATTGAAGATTTGAGACAAAAAGTTGGGTTTGAAAGGGAGACGGTCCATTGGACCGTGTGAAAGAGCCATGGAAGATCGAAGCGAGACATCGATGATAGTTAATTTATTTGAAAAAATAAATTAACTAAAAAAGAATGAATGGTACAAAAAAGTACTCCCTTCGTCCCAATTTAAATCGCCTGTTTTGATTTTTGGGCATATTTAAGGAAAATAAAAACTAGAGTTGATTTTTCAAAATTGCCATTATTTTTTGATTTTTGGGCATATTTAAGTATATAAAACATTCTAAACATAAGTAAGAATCAATTCAATATAATAATAGAAAGTGACTAATAAGCAAACACTACCATAATTAATATTATTATAATTATTATTATTGGTTATTTTAGTTAATAACAATTTTAATTGTTTGTTGTGTTTGTTTTGAATTATTCTCAGGTACTCCTCATGGCCTTTGGGATTGCAACATTTATCTACGCAGCAATGGGAATCTTAGGGTACATGATGTATGGTTCAATGTTGAACTCCCAAATCACTTTGAACCTTCCAAAAGAAAAATGGAGCTCAAGAGTAGCAATCTACATAACACTGTTAACTCCTCTAACCAAATATGCTTTGTTCATGAAACCAGTGGCATCCACAGTCGAGAGCTGGCTTTCTCGTAGATACCAACAAAAGAGATCAGTCAATATTTCATTGCGATCCCTTTTAGTTGTTTCGCAGGTCATCGTGGGTCTTTCGATCCCATTTTTTGGTTCCCTCACGTCCCTTGTTGGAGCCCTATGTAGTGGAACAGCTTCTATCACAATTCCGTTTTTATGCTACTTGAAAATCTCGAAAATTCGTTGGAATTCCATTGAAGGAGTTGCACGTGTTCTACTTGCTGCATTTAGCATATTGCTAATTGTGATTGGCACCTATACTTCCTTAGAGAGTATAGTAAAGAATATGGATTATTCCTTGACAAAGGGTTTTAAGATTGCAAGTCTAATTGTTGGGTTTTAGGGCAACTCCAGCAAAGACCATCTTCATCTCAAGTGCTTCCATATGGTTCTTACTAAAGCATTTAGTGCTTCTAAGAACTCAAGCAATGTAGATTGTGACATAGAGAACTTTGGAAGCTACAATGCTTCCCATTTTTATCATTAAATATATGGCATATAAATAAGTTATGTGGTCACATGTAGTCTTAGTTTTGGGCTGCTTGAAAGAATTTGGGGTTGGAGTTAAAGGTTGCCTTAGTTATAAAAAAATTAAAAAAAAAATGACAAGTACTTTAAAAAAACGGGAAGAACTTTGTTGAAGCTCCTCAGGATGCTAATGCTCTGATAGACCTCAGGTAGAAATATTTAAATACTAGTATTTAACCCGTGCAACGCACGGGGTCGAACGAATGTTATTTTTAACTCTTTTAAATGTTTGTTTTAAGTATATAATTAAAAAATGAAGCTAAATATAATATAGAATGTTAGAATTTTAATAAATGATACAACACAAACAGAGTATGATAACTAAATTTAATGGGAAACAAAATTGGAATCATACGTATAAATGTATTAATTAAATCCAAATTTTTTGAAAAACTTTAGGGTAAACCACATTTTTGGTGCAATTGCTAGGGTTACCACTGTCATCTAAAACTAACACTTTCAATCCTTTCTTGGTTTTCACTCGTGAAACTGCAACATAAAGTTGACCGTGAGTGAATACCGATTTGGTCAAGAATAATCCAACAAATGACAATGTTTGACCATGACTCTTATTGATTGTCATGCAAAAACATAAAGATATTGGAAATTGTCTTCTTTGAAACTTAAACGGCAATCCAGGATCTGACGGTACCAAATTCATTCTTGCTATGTAAACTTTCTCACCTGCATTATTTCCTGATACAACAATTGCACCGATAATGTTTCTTCGCAACTCTTCAACTATTAATATTGTACCATTACACAACCCAGATGTTTGATAAATGTTTCTTAACAACATAATTGGTACTCCTTTCTTCAAAACAATTCTGTGGTTTGGAACCCCAGAACACTTGATATCGTTCAAAAACTCAGTCTTTACCCAATCGCCATCTATGCCTATATCTGCATCTACTTGACACGAAGAATCAGAGCTCAAATACTCCTTTTCATCTCCAGGAATTAGAGACAAAACAAAATCATTTATCATTTCAACAACTTCAAGTGTGGGTGCTAATAAAGCTCTATCCATAAAAAAAGTATAATCTTTCATATTTTCTAATAAGTCTGGATACGTGAATTCCACTATACTCTGAAGTGGAGAACTTGAGTTCAGGATCAAGGATCCAGGTGGAATTTCAATTTCACCAATTCCATCATTAACCACGCCAAGCTGTCCATCTCCGATAATATCCACTACTAATGCTGATGCCAAAATAGGCAAAGACATACACAGACCCTTCCTTTATTCGCTTCTAAAAAGTTCCAACCAAACTTCTCCGGACAGTGGCATGTATCGTAGTTCCCTACATTTGTTTGTTCAAATTAAACATCATAAAAAATCAGCAACAACATATCCTCTAAGGAAACAACAATAAATCTAAATATAATAAAAAAACAACATCAAAACATCTGAATCATACACTAAGCAAACACGCAGAAGCAAACTGATGGTAGAGACTGCTTAGTGTCTTTATAATAACACACTAAGCATTCATTCTTCTATAAAAGGGCACCAAGTATGTACTAACTGTTAGTTCAATGCACACTGGTGGTAGAGACTGTAAGTAGGCAAAATATAGATATATTTATAAGTAGGGAAAACATATTTACAGTTACTGATTTCAATATCCATCCACTGTCAGTACTTAGATGTTACAGTTAAAATTACAGTTAGTACTTACTTAATGTACTCCTATGTAAATGATGGATCGAACCAGTACCACACATAATCTATATGTACATTAGTAGATGACATCTCTTAAATTCTATCCAAGATACTATTCTTAACTCTCAATTTTAAGACAGAATAAAGTACATAGATCATTCATATCCATAAGCAATTCCAAACAGACAGACAGCAATAGCATCACTGCTGCACACCATCTACTATAGTACTATGAGAAGCACAATTAGTCAATATCATATACAGAGTACTTCAAATGAATGCAAGAAAATTGCTGATGATATGACATGCTGGGGTCCTAGTAGTGAAATATCAAGGTTGGAAAAGTAGCTATACAAAACACAATATAATAAAATCCAACTTCTTCACTGTTTTAGGATAGAAAGGAAGAGAGATGCTGACAGGGTAGCAAGCCATTGTAGAGACATTTACAATTGAAAAAATCATAGTGCATTACATTAAATAAGAAATAAATATTTGGGTCACACTGCCAGGCTTATAACCCAAAAAAACAAATAGAACCACAGTAAAAATATGCCAGTAATACCACACGGGAAAACCTATATAGAATAATAGAACTAATATAATGTATAACAAAAAAATGAGAAGGAATATGATGAATCAAGAGAAGGTGACATACATGTTCATCCATGAACACCATTTCAATGGAATTTGTAGTTCTCTCATCATTATAAGCGGGTAAAGTATACAATCGTACGACACGAACCATGATCCTCCAACATTCTCTGCGTGGAGTGATCTTCGACAGTGGATGGATGGTCATTGTCTTGGATTGAACGAAAAAACAAAAAAGAATATGAATCTCAGAAAACGGGAATTCTGGGTTGTTCTTGAGGAGAATGTATATATAGATAGAATTATAGGAAGAAAGAATACATCTATTAATTGAATATAAATTAGGTATATGATTTCTCAAATCTAATTAGGGTATACGAATATGAATTAGGTATGAATCACGTCCCTAATTTTTTCAATCAATTGAAGAAAGCATATTGGTATTAATCAACCCTAATTTCGGGTAGAAATTAGGGAAAAATTGGGGTACCAAAGAAGAAAATGGAAAGGCGTATCGGAGTACCTGTGATCTCTTTCCTTCCGTGACCCAACGCAGCGAGGAATCATATTTGTTTCCTTTTCAGCGTGAAGATTTGCAGGAAATTTCCTTCTTTCTGCGCGAGGAGCTCGGGGGAGAAAGAACGTTGTACTGGAAGGACGAAGGAGAGCTTCGCCTATAATTAGACGCGTGTCATCTGACGTGTCGTCAAAATAAGAGTTTTAATTTGCCACGTGTCAAAATTCTAGGTTATCAACTCTCAAATATTATATTAAAGGATTCTAGATTAGAAAAGTCCCGTAGATTTTAAGCATTAGTTTGCAGTTTTTGCGGATGTGTTTTAACTCTTATTTGAAGCATGTGGTTTTGTCCTTTATTTGGTTTGGGTATAATGCTCATGTCAATTAGAGCCTGTTCTTTAGGGCTTAAACTGTTAACTTTCAGTTTCTTCCGGTTCTTTCTAGTTTCTAGTTCTTCAAGTTCCTTCTAATTCTTTTAGTTTCTTGCAGTTTCTCCAGTTTCTTCCAGCTCTTTCCAGTTTCTTCCAACAATTCTCATTTTTGTCAAGCTCTTTCTACTCCTCAACCATTCACTCTAAAAGTGATATATTTTTAATGTGAATATTATTATTATTACAACTATTATGTTTATAACTATAGTTTATAAATTATTTTTTCATCTCACTATTTTTACGATTCACACTCATTATTATTTTTTTTCAACTTTTGATATCAATAAGATAATTTTTTTGTATAATAATCTACATGATAAAATAGGAAAACATCAATGTTTTAAACTATATTATAAAATTATGGATAAAATAGTGACATATAATGTTTTATTAATCTAACTTTATATAGGACCGCTCACCTTTTCCTTTATTACTCAACCTTTTCTGATTTTAATTTATTTCAATTTTTTTTCAATTTTCTTATTTTTATAAAAAATTTTGAAAGTAAAAATAGTTTAGAGAAAAAGACTAAAATAGTAGTAAAACATAAAAAATATAGAAAAAAAATAAATTTCTATGTCTTTATTCTAAAAATACGAGTTAGACTGTTAGAGTGAAAACAAAATGTCAATCATGAAAGAAAAATAGGTTTGATTACATTATGTGACATGTCTGATCTTTAAAACAAAATATTGTAATGTATAAAGTATAATTAGAAAAATAATATTTTATAATAAATATGCATAAATAAATTGAGCTGCAACGTAACTACAATAACTTTTTAAAATTTAACATTTTGATATTTATGCTAACCTTATATTATAATTTTTTTTTGCATAAGTTTTTTTTTGTGTATGAAAAATAACAATACTTTTTTATCTTAAAGACATTCATTAAGATAATGTGATGATGATTATAATAATAATAATCATAATAATAAAAGTTTATAACAACAAAAATGAGAATATATATATATATATATATATATATATATATATATATATATATATATATATATATATATATATATATATATATATGGGGTGGGTTCTAATAAGAATGATCTTCTACGAAAGAAATAAGAATAAATGAGATCCATTGATCTCAAACAATCAATGGATGGAAGCCTTTTACAAAATGGACGGCACCACTAGATTTTATAAGGTAAGGAAATCAAATCATTGATTGTGAATTAAAATCAAAGAGTAATAGGGGCAATGTTGTAAAATCGTATTGCATTTAAAATGGTCATGGATGACACGCAACTATCCATTTCCAAAATTAATGCTTTCCATATCATTTGACTCCCACTTGGATTCTTTTTTGGATCTGATGTCACGTTTTTATCTTTTTTTTTTAATTTTTCTCTTTTATTTTTTTTTGTCAATTTTCTTCAATAAAAATTAATATTCAATATTTTTTTCTATTGCACTCTTTATTCCTCATATGCATTATTTTAATGCATTTCACACGGTGGAAAAGATTTACTCCCTCCGTCCCTGAGTGTTGTCCACTTTCATTTTTGCACACCATCCAATGAATTCTTTAATCCATTTTA